ATTGCATCAATAGAAAACCTAGAAATTTGTCCCCAGCGTCGATTTTTGGCCAATATCTGCATTTGTGGATGGTGAGAAGTAACTCATTTTGTCAGCACGCCTCACAAATGTCTCACCTTCATATATATCGAACGGTAGCCAAAATATGTCTGACGAATTTTAAAAGTGACCTTTTGAAAATGTAATTTATAGAGACAATTCTTGAATTGCACCAAATGTGAAGCTCACAAAATAACAAACTTTACTTTAAACGTCACCATTCAGTGTCAGATCTGTAACAGGCATCGATGATCATGGTTTGCCACTCATTTCTCTGCTTAAAAAAGAAAAACTATAATCATATATTGTCTTGGTCTTTCCCCGTCACCTATCTGTTCAAGTTCTGTAAGTAGCGTAAGTTGTTCCTGTGCTGCTCTGCCTCGCTTTCCCTCTATTTTTCCAGTATTCAAAGCCCTTAATGGTCACTTTTAAGCACAAAGGGGTTATCCCGAAAAATGCTGTTCTGGGAAATTCAAAGGTAAAGTTTTTGGACCCTTCCTCAGTTTCTTAAAAGACAAGGAGAGCTTTCTCTACAACTAAACAGATATACACACAAATGAAATCTGACTTCTCCTGTCGGTAGGGCAATGCCCGATTTTGGTGTAGGTCAAGATTTCCGGAAATCCCCGAAATCTAGGTTAGCCCGCTTTGTCCTTAAAAGCGACCAATTATGTCTATTCAAGGTCACAGAAACTCTTCCTATTCCTAACTGTTTTTATCAGTCAGCGGCCCACACAGGCTTCTGTGAGTACTGCCTCATTTGATATCTTTTCAGTCCATGAAATTGTCGAGCCTCTCAAAAAATTACGTTACGATTGCTTCTAGTGTACATGTATTTTCATTATGTTTGATAAGTGTCATTCAAATAACCTCTCCCCTCCTTTTCCTTAAAACATCTCTTTCCACTCATCCCCTTCCCTTTTAAAAGCCAGGTATTTATGTTTGTACGTTTTTCATTCCTTTACGTTGTTTTTCCTTTGTACTTCATTCAACAGATACTCACCTCTCGCCTACCCGCCCTGTTCCACCCCTCTCTACACGCCCCCCCCCCCTCTTTCTCTCTCTCCCTCTCTCTCTCTCTCTCTCTCTCTCTCTCTCTCTCTCTCTCTCTCTCTCTATCTGTCTCTCTTTTCCTCCCTCTCTTTCTCTCTCTCTCTCTCTCTCTCTCTCTCTCTCTCTCTCTCTCTCTCTCTCTCTCTCTCTCTCTCAACGAAAATACAATGTGTTTCCCCTATTATTCTTCGTTCTTCGATCTCCAAGGGAAACAATTCGTGGAATTATGGTCGAGAGCGATGGAAAAACTCAAACATTTTTCCTTCCACAGATACGGGAACAAACAGGGGCACCTCCAGACAGCGAAATAGCCGTATGGCGTCTCCTGATCTGACTCTCGGTTCAGACTTTGAGGTGGACGACGAAGATGAAACGGAAGACGACATCTTTGAACGGTTGAGAAAGAAATACAACATTAAAATCGACAGTGACGAAGAAGACATCTAATCACCCCCAAGCTGTCAACATTTCATGGAGTTATACAAATAAATGTATACATATATTTTTATTGTTTTTTACATTTCATCATGCCTGTTTCTTTGTTACATGCTACCCCCCCCCCCCCCACACACACACACACCCACCCACCTTTCCCACACACAAAGTGACCTCACGTTTGGTCACGTTTAAGGACAAGCGGGCTAACTCAGATTTTGGGGGTTTCCAGAAATCTTGACCTACATGAAACTCAAAGTGGGCATTGGCCTACCAATAGGAACAGTCTGGTGTCATTGGTGTGTGCATTTGTTTTTGTAATTGTAGAGAAAACTCTCCTTGTCTTTTAAAGAACCTGAACAAGGGTCCAAAACTTTACCTTTGATTTTCTCAAAACAACATTTTTCGAGATAGCCCCTTTGTGCTTAAAAGCTACCGTTTATGTTCTGGCATTATAGATCTAGATAGTCTTATACATCAATCTGCGTCTGTGGTGTATCGGGCTGGCTCTTCGCCGTAGCTCAAAGAGCACATAAGTTCAATGCCCGCTGTTGGGAAGATTTTGCTGGAGCATAATATCTCTTTCATCCATGGTTGGCCCGGTCAAGCAGAGTCGATAAAGCCCGCCCCCTAAATGATCTAACTTGTGACAATTCGGGCATACTATAATATGTACAATTATCTTGATGTCGATTCATTCAGGAAACTCACAATATTTTCATCCATAGTGACAAGGATGAGAAATGATGCACTCACAAACAACAAACAAAACGTTTGTTCAAGTATTCAATGCAAATAGTATGGGTGACCTTCTTTATAGTTTAACAGGTGCTAAGTTTAAGAAATTCTTCTATATTATTCACTTGTTTTATCCTGTCCCACGTCCGCCATTATGCCTTCGAATACATTTAATGTGTTATCACAATTTGCACTCATACAGAAAATACTGTGTAAAAATGACAATATTGACAAAATTTGACAATATGCCTTCTCACAATAATGTCTTTTACTGCATCAACTGTCTATCCTTATAATAGACATGTCATTTTTGTCTGTACTCACTAAGTGCGCGTGCGATTCAGAGTGTAGTTGAGGAAGTGAGCGAGCGAGAAAAAGAATGGATTTATACACTGGGCATGGTTGAATTCAAACACGTGTGGTGTAGCAGGAAAAAAAGATAATATTTGCAATGAATCATGCAGAATTTGTTGACTTTTACACTTCCAATGTTGATATGCTGTTGAAAGATTAGATTTATCATACCTGCTCGGAGAGAACGCCGGTGGACAGCAGACAGGCTATGTGTAACACAGTGACTCGTCTAAAGCGCCTGTTTGGTTTTTTTGTGTATCACATCCCATGGGAGGCTCACAATACTTCACAAAGATTTCATTGTCAGGGCGACACATTTCTATTAACCATCAACGCCCCCTACACCTCCCTTTCCCTTGTCTTTTTTCCTTCGGCTTACAAAGGTGTAGCCTTCTAGGTGCAAATCGTTTAAGTTCTCGTATTCCGTCTCTGTCAGCTTCCAAGTGCCCGTTTGCCATGAGATGGCGGGAGGATAAGAGGGCGTAACACCTTGTTGAGGATAGAACTTCCAGACTGGTGAAGCCAAGAGTCCAAACTTGCAGCACTTTTGTGCAGATTCCAACGTCTTACCGTTGGATCTGAAGAGCATTGAAAATACACAAGTCTTGAGGAGAGTCAGGCGGGAATGAAAGCCTCGACATTAATCTATACTTATTATATTTGTGAAAGTTCGTCACTTTGGCCGCCTAAAACTCCCGAACCACTTAACTCTCGAATTTGACAAAATTAATGGTGGTCCAAAATCATTTAAAGGGTGCACTGTTTCACTGAGGAGACTGATGTCACTGCAGTTTAATTTTCAGTTTTTCATTAGTTTCGTTAAGATCTAATCTTAGAAAAGTCCGTCTTCTAAGACGCCATTGTAGCAAGTGAGGTTTCCGTTCACTAGCCGTGTGCACTGGCTCCACACCTTTGAAATTCTGGAGTGTACAACCTCGAAATGGAATAGAGAATCAATCTATACATCTAATATATATTTGGCAATTTGGAAACACATATGCCACTTTTCTCTCAAGATTTATTGCTCCATCCCAGTAGAGTGTAAATATAATAGGCCAATGACTTTCAGTTGTTGTTAATGCACCGATCATTGCTTTCATCGAAAGGGGGCCCAGCTAGTTGTATAATAAAATATGTCTTTGCAAACAGTGCTTTCCCAACACATAAAGAGCTCACACACAAAGATAATGTGATCATGAATATAGAGTTTCAAACACCAAGGAGAACTCACCCAGGATCATGAAAAGCTGGTTATCATAATTTCGTTGACTTGTGTTGCACGTAAAATGGAATTATGATACAAACTTTTCACAGCTAGTATTTTGAGCACTTATGGCACCAACATTCGCTTAATAATGGCATTCTTCTTTTGGGCTAACACGTGAACAGTTAGTAGCTATAAGCAACGAAAAATTATAATTACATCTATTCATAAATCTTCATTTCTACTGATGATAGCTACCATAAGACAGCGTCCATGAAGTGAAATAGAAAGGGGAGAAAAAAAACACACAGAAAGGCTCAGACCCTTTTATGTCCATATAACAACACACAAATGTGTCTATTACTCTATAATAATATTGTATCCTACAGTAGGGTTTTAAGCAACAGACTTAATAGTTGCGAACCATTCACATCGTCAAAATACACTCTTGTTTATGCATGAGCGGGGATTTTTATACCCCCCCCCCCTTCCCATGCTATTTAAGGCATGTACAGCTGTCTCGAATTCGAACCCGTCTCTTTCATATCATGTTGCTACTGGTATTGTTCTGATTCCATGCGTATCCTTGTAGAATAAACAAAGACTAGTACAGTACCACAGTCTGTTTCCTTAACTGTTTTATTGTCTTTTTAATTATTATTAGGCTTTGGTGGTTTTGTTCGTTTGTTTGTTTGTTTGATTTTCCTCACCAATACAAACAAAGTCATTAACCCTTCATTGCTAGGGGGGTGTTCGTTAAGTAATGGATTGTGAATGGTTATGATTTTCCATATGTCCTCTAATTTTCTTTCACCGCTCTCTTTTATCTCTATTATATTCATCCTCTCTCTCTCTCTCTCTCTCTCTCTCTCTCTCTCTCTCTCTCTCTCTCTCTCTATCTCTCTATCTCTCTATCTATCTATCTATCTATGTCTCTCTATCTATCTATCTATTTATCTATCTATCTATCTATCTATCTATGTCTCTCTGTGTGCCTTTCTGTCTGTCTCTATATTGCATTTCCATGTCCTCAAGATGATGTCTGGGTTTACTGACTTCAAGAAAATGACTTTTTTAAAGCAAGTTTTTTTACATCACCATCGACACTAGATACTTTAGCCGGCGGGTTTCAGACCCTGTCTGTCAGGGCCAACCCGGGTTGACAGGGATACATCCCCAGCAAAAATATCGAGATAATCGAAGAAAATTTTATCCCTACACAGGAATTTTAACTCGAGCCTCCTGGACCTGCGTGAGACAGAGAAGCGCCAAAACCGCTAGACCAGAGACGCCGGTGAAATGCCTCTCTGTATTGGAAAGTCAATTTATTTCCCTTTTGTAGAACTTCCCAGATACCAACGCTCGCTAACGATTATTGACTCGTGCATGATTTGTCGACCTCCAACAAATCAATAGTATTGACGGTTTTGCCCTAGAGATCGAGCAAGCGGCTCCTCGACCTGTGAACATCAGAGAAACTCTGTTTGTTCCACCCGCATATTATGGATTGCTCAAAGGTCATTCCCCCTTCTGGATAACCTCAAACTCAAATGTTATAGTTTCATGAGCGTCGACAATCTGTTCAAATGTAATTCCAGAGAGCAAAATTTTTCAGGAGAGAGAGAAATAGATGTCATCTTTCTAAAGCAATTGTATCAGCATTAAGCAGCCTATTTTTTATTTTTTTTAAATTCGTTTTTCAACGTTTAGAATTGGAATTTCGATAAAAACATTTCTTGAGTAACTGCAACCGATACTACAGATTAGGAAAAGGTAATTTTGAAAAAATGTTGACTTAGCATATCGGAACAGCTGCTCGACGACATGCTGGTCAAACACGGTCTTCTTAAAACACCTCTTTGCCAAAGGAATCTTTGACTGATTAATGATAAATTAATGTTTCACACACCCCTTCGACACATTAAGAGGATTTAGTAGGAAGGCTGTTTGGACAACCAACCACTGCTGGATGAGATATAGTGTTCCAGTTGAAAGCAACGGTACATGATAAGGCAGAGATAGGCGCCCTCACAGGGGAATAAAGCTTACATCTCCCATGTGTAAAGGGGGAGAAGTTAATCATTATACCATACATTGGTTAGTAAGCTTTGTTAGGGTTTTTTTTCTAGAGATTCTCTTAGATCTAAAGGGGGGGAAATGTTGTAAAAAGTCAGAAAAAAACAAAGCGATAATACAGAAGAAGAACCCTGAAGCAAGCGTCTTCGTTACCTGCTACAATAGCTTTTTAAAAAGTCACAAAGAGCGTTGCTACTATAATGTGACCATCGAGTCTTCTTGGACAGATTTTTTTTTAACACTGGAGGCCAAGTTGGGGTGGACGGGGGCAGAGGGAGAAGCACTCTAAAGAAGAGCGACAGACGATGAAGAACAAGGTTCTTGTACATGTCGGCTGCCTCCCTCCCCTGGAATTCTACCCAATGAACCATACACCACTAGCACATTGCATTACTGCGATAATGACTTTACACACTTATAAAGACTAGGGCTTAGAGACAGAGGTATGTGAGGCGTGACGAGTTTGAGAAGCCAAGTATTAGCAAGAACTGGTGAAACGTATCTTATACCTGTTGCGTTTTGGACGAGAGAACTGACCACTTCAACGATTCTGGACACTATATTTTGTACAAGATTGGGCTGAGACTGAAATTTAGATAAGCCCTAGTTCGAAGAAAATGAAGGCAGTGTCATTTTCGAGAAATGAGGAATACGGTGAATAAAAGGAGCAAGGAAAGAGATGGAGAAGGGTAGAAGAGTATAATTGTGCGGGTAGAGGGAGGTAATCCCGAATTAATACATTCAGCAATAGTTAGATAACATTGATAACGCATACCCTACCACATAAAAATGCTCATCTATTTTCAGTATCTTGTTTCTTTTTTTATCTCCAGGCCTTTGGGATTTTCCTCAAAGTAACCATGAGCCCAGATATAGTATGTAGGCTCCAAAACGTGAAAAACTAGGACAAATGAAAGCATTTTAAGCTGGCAGTAAGAAATGAGCATTCATCAAACGTTTTCTCTACAGCACAGTTAGCAGGGCATGGACAAATTGAACAAAGCACATGGGTGGACGGAATGTTTTGCATGTGCACATGCCTTATAGTGTCTTATCTAGTCAAAAAAGAAACAGAATGGTTGGATCATGTCTCATAATTTGAAACTTTAGTGTTTATTTGTACCACGACTACTGACAGATTGCAAGTAATGCTTCGAAATATTTTTTCATTGACATAGAATTAGATCATTTAGGAGGCAAAGTGCTTCCAACTATGCCTACTACAACCAATCTCAAATGTGTAAGAAAATATGTACATGTTTTTAAAAAGAGATACATGACCAATGTATTTGATAAGGTTGAGATTTCTTCTCAACAAGAAGAAAGTTGAGCTCGCTTTTTGCGTTGAAGGCATGCAGGGTTTCTTGCTACATTGTAAGTACCGGTGTATGTACTGTAAGTTTGCTTAAGATTCTTGGGAAACCAATCATTTATAACGAAATCACAAAACAAACACGGGTTTAAAATACAACTTCCTCCTTTAGTTTATTGTTAGAGCACATCTCTGAGCATCACGGCAAACGGGCGTACTTGGCGAATTGGGAATTTTTTCTCAGGACACACTGACAGCCAATATTGAGGTCATAGGTCGACTGGTGCCACTTGTCTGTAATGAACTCTGTGCCTTTACTTTTGACTTTCATGCACTTGTTGGGTTCTCTCCTCAAGATTGGAATGTGGAAATGTTGTTGTTCACACTCGCCTCCGTCTGGAATGAAAGAAAGAGAAAATTTTAAAATCCGTCAAGGTCGTAGAATGTTACGAAACATAACTACAGTATAAATTAATGATGCTGGACGTAAATATTTAACGGTAACTTGCAGAAGATAAAAAATACACCCTGGTTTTATGGCGTGTCAATATGATTATACCTGCTGGGCATAAAAAGCACGACAGATTTAATTAGCACTGAAGCATTGCCCGCGCGCGTGTGTGTGTGTGTGTGTGTGAGGGGGGGGGGGTGTTTGTGTGTGTGTGGGGGGGTTGTTTGTGTGTGTGTGTGTGTGTGTGTGTGTGTGTGTGTGTGTGTGTGTGTGTGTGTGTGTGTGTTTGTGTGTTTGTGTGTTGCGTTCTTTGTAGTCACTTGGTTGTCGTGTATGTGAGTAGACATGATAACAGCTACATTTCAAAATGTTGAAGCTGATAATAATAATAATAATAATAGTGATAATAATATTATTTAAAAAATAATAATAGTGGGTAGCGTTTGTGTAGCGCATGTTCCCGCTCTGGCCGCTTTTAATGTATATGTGAAGCATCATGGTGAAACCAAGCGCTTGTAATATATTTAATGACAAAATCGACGGAAAAGGACTTTTTTAAAAACTAGTTTGGAAATTTTTATCAAATTTGTGTTTTTCGGCTCAGACCCTTTTATGTCCGTATAACAACACACAAATGAATTTTACTGAAAAACGTTAATCAAAGGTGTAAAATATGAACATTTTCAATTTTTAAGGATCCTCAAGCTGTTAAAGTTACAAAACTTTGGCGGTCATTTTCTAGCTAATTTTACCTCTAAAACCAGGCAAACCCACCTTCAATCGCAAATATCTCGAGATCTATTCAAGACTGACGCGTATTTTTTTCCATCGAAAATAAGGCAAATAAACAAGTTTCAGATATCAATAACTCCACGTGCCCAAAAATTGACGAGCGCCTGATTCCATCCCGTCACATATTCTCTAGCAGACCATACAACACCCAGAAACATTCTCAGCTGATTGCCGTGGTGCCGATATGCATCTCTTTACACAAACAAGCAGACTGATGCAAAAGTTACAGTCCAATCTTCGTTGTTTTGGAAGTGATGAACAATGTGAAACGAACAGCCCCACTGGCTCTGGGGCTCTCGTGGACAAAGGTCCTGGGTTCGAATCCGGGTAGCGGACCGAAACATTTTCTTCTCTAAGATTGTCTCCTTTCACCTTCTTCCCTACTACTCTCTAGCAATGTTCTTTCGTCTGCTTACGTCTTCTCTTTCTACCCCCACCCCTCACCTCCTTTGCCCCCCTCCTCTGGGGCTCTGACTCTTTCTGCAGCTTTTCTACAGCTACTTCGTGTCTCCTTCTTACTGCTGTCTTTCAGCCACACCCCTGATCTTCTGATAGGAAAGATCTACACCTAGCCTTCTCGGACAAGGGCGAAAAAACTCGGAGGGCCCGTGTGCAGGTTGCACGCGTTAAAGATCCCTTGGTGGTCTAAAATCGATAAGAGTAGGCTTCGGTCGCCACCCGGCCAAAATTCAAAATTTCCTACAACTGAAATAGTTTAATGTGTCCCGCGCGCTCATATTATGACCTTAAGCAGTTGCGAGCGCCGTAAAACACCAAAAGAACCTAACCCCCCCCCCACACACACAAAAAACACAAAAATCCCCACTGTCTCTACTCACGGGAATTGTTCTCGCTGAGGCAGCCTCCCTGGTTAGCTGGTATAGAGCTGGTGCCTGGGTGGCAGATCCTCTCTGTGAGAAAGCGCGGGAAGTAGGTGCTGTCCAAGATGGTAGTGTGCTCGCACTCGGAGCACAGGCTCACGTAGTTCGTACCCGGGATATCTTGGCCTTGAGTGATGCACGCGTCTGAACGAAGGGCAAATCCTAAAAATAAGGGAGGGAAAAACGCACTTGTCAGAGTACAGATGGATCCGATTTAATGAAACTTTTACGGCACATGTAACACAAATAGGTCATATAATTGCCGAAGATTAGTGGTATCACTAGAGAGTAACATTTTTTTTATAAAAGAAGGAAGAGAGAGAAGGACAATAGATCTAGATGTTTCATAGGAAAGAAGGAGCAAATAACACCAGAACACTCGCCAACCACCCACACGTATGAGTCAATAAGTCTATAATGATCACTTCGGTGAAAAGGGTGCCCCATACATAGTGCTGTAAGAAAACAAATATTTACCTATTCCCCGTGATTTCACGGGCTGTGATAATAAATTGTCACCTTGACATCATCATCTCACTGACTGACCAATACCAGACGAGGTATCTAATCAAGGCATTCATCATCATCATCCAGTGCCAGATCTGCGACAGACATCGGTGATCATGGTTCTCCATTTATTCCTTTGCTCGGAAGCTCTAAAAAAAAAAAGCTACGTTTCCATGATCTTTCCCTGTTACCCATTTGCTTAAGTTCCCCAAGTAGATTTTCTGGGCCCATCCCTGCCTAATCATGGCATTAAAAAGGAGAAAAATCATTGCATGTGAATTGAAATGCCTCAGAAAATTAATTAACGTCGGTAGGAAAGACTGCACAAGGAACGTAACTGTCCGAAGTTGAACAGGGATGAATCCAGTCATGGACTATACCGAACAAAGTTAAACAAATCAAGTGGTTCGTACTCTGATGAGAGTGCCTCAGTTCAACCAGCTGCACTATAAATATAACTCAAGAGAGTCGGCATACAAGGGTAGAGGCAGACAATGTAAATCTTGGCTGAAAGGCGTTAATGGGGTCATCAAACAAACAAACAAACAAACAAACAAAAACAAAATAACTAAACAAACAAACAATCATATCTACGTATCTAGCCTCATAATTGAAAATTGAACCTCCCTTGGATTTCTAACAATACAAGAGGGAGTATTAAATAAAGTAAAGTAAAGTAAAAATAAAGTAAAAGTAAAGTAAAGTTTAGTAAAGTAAAGTTAAGTAAAAGTAAGAGTAAAGTAAAGTAAGTAAAGTAAAGTAAAGTAAAGTTAAGTAAAAGTAAGAGTAAAGTAAAGTAAAATAAAATAAAGTAAGTAAAGTAAAGTAAAGTAAAGTAAAAGTAAGAGTAAAGTAAAGTAAGTAAAGTAAAGTAAAGTAAGTAAAGTAAAGTAAAGTAAAGTAAAGTAAAGTAAAGTAAAGTAAAGTGATCGTTTACACCCAACTAAATAGTAAACGACTGCTGTTCATTCCAAATGGGGGGACTTGGGGCAGGCCCCGGGGGGGGGGGGGAAATGGGGGGACTTGGGGCAGGCTTCGGGGGGGGGGGGGGGGGCAAAGAAAACTGACAATTGGCAAAGGTTAACGATGTGCGTGTAAATGGGACAATCCATTCTGGGAATGGAGTGTGGGGGGGGGGGGGGGGGGGGGTCTCTTCGCGACTGACAACCAATATACTTTGCACTCAGCATAATATTTATTTTTGAATTTTACAAAGTCACGCTGAGCTTAAATTTCCCCAAGAATGACCCAACAAAGCAGCAGTGTGATAATGTCATGTTTGCGATAAAAGGATCGCCAACAGTGGGGCATGCTAGAATTCCAGTCAAAGGAGCAGTATAATTATTATTATGTTGTTCTCCATTCACGCATACAGCTAGAAATAGAACAGTGACTAAAATATATAACTTTACAAGGGAAAACAAAACAAACACTCAAACGAAAATAGGCATAGCTATTAATTTTATAGGCTAACAAGGGACAATTCGAGAATAAATACGGAAATGACGATATGGCGATACGGCGACTGTGGTGTAGTAATTACGTGCTTCGTCGTTGCACACAGACGATATGAGTTTGATTCCCCCGTGGTAAAAGTCTTTATCGAGTATCTCTGTAATCTTTCTGCGGCGTGGTATACCTTTCAGCATCGGTCAGGCCTCTTAAATAATCTAAATTGGGTCCATGGGGACGTAAAATTCATTGAAATGTCAGCTGAAGTCGTTTCTGTTTTTAAATTATCAAGATGAATATTTGGAGTAATTTTCTTTTAGTCTGAACACAACGTTTTATGTTACTGTTGTACGTTGTACTGTATTGTAAAGCGCTCGATCAGAGCCTGTGCACTTTAATCGGGGTTGATATGATTAAAACGCGCACTTTGGATTTTAAAAAATTGATGCAACGTTTCCAGGCACGGGATAAAATCACTTTTCTAGAAATAACAAGGAAAAGGCTTTAAAATATTTCTTATGTGTGCAGGTTGACAGGGATTTCCATTACTTCTAAACTTCAGCAATATTTTCTACCAAAGAGGACAAGGAGACAGCTTCAACAGTAATGAACTTTATAACCATTTGAAAAGAACTATTTTACAAAGATGATATTAATTAAAAATCATCCATTACGAGCGCTTGCACTCTGTACAATTCGGAGAAATATGAGCCATATTAGGCCTAGCATTGCCCTGATTTGGGGAAAGTATTTTCAAACGTGCAAAGGTTAAACATTCTCGACAGTTAATATTTATATCTCATAAAATTTATGACTTGAGCATGTTGCTTAAAATCTTCCTACACATAACACCTTTAAAGAGGGATATAGTCTATACAGTTTTTAAAAACAGAAGTGATTAATATAATTTACTCTGTGCTTCAACTTTTTTCTTCAGCTCTAGTTATTTCCCTTCCTAAACTTAGCCTTCTCCAGTACTCGCTCTCTCTCTCTCTCTCTCTCTCTCTCTCTCTCTCTCTCTCTCTCTCTCTCTCTCTCTCTCTCTCTCTCTCATTCTCTCTCTCTTTTACACACATACACACACACACACAAACACACACACACACACACACACACACACACAAACATAAACATGCGCTTACTCTCTCCCACTCGGTCCCTTGGACCAGAATTAGCTTATTACAAGTGGGCATGCAAGGTCTTTTCTACTACGGTAACTCGATTCTCAATCACATATCAATCAATTCATTCCTAATTCCAGCTGTACATTTCGGCAAATAAAAGAACTGTGATTCCTTGATCCTCATTAAGTTAATAGTACTTCTATTTTGAAAACTATTTTAAAAATTGTAATGAGATCGGTGTTGCTGCTAAACGAGATTCATAGGCATTATTCTTTAAGCCATATTAAAGTTGTGAGAAAAGAGATCATCGTATGGAATTATTTTCCAGTTGAATTCATTTAATTCTGTCTGGGCCAGCTCAATGTTCCTTCAAGAAGAGGCACAGGCAACCATTTTGGCAAAATAAAACCGATTAGACTCTCGACCTCGAAAGGCAAATGCATTTGACTTAAAGGTCGCTTCGAATCAGTATTTATCTTTGTCAAGATAACAACACATAACTGATAACAACAAATAAACTGATAACAGCAAAATAACGACAAATATCAACACAAACGTCCTAATTTGTGCTTTTACTTGGCTTTTGAGGTAGTCTACTTACATTGGTATTTATCTTTGTCAAGATAACAACAAATAACAAATGATAACAACAAATAACAACGGAAAACAACGGAAAACAACAAACAACAACTGGTAACAGCAAAATAACGAAAAATTGAATATCAACACAAACGTCCTAATTTAATTGGGTTTTTTTTCGATAAATTGTTACTTTCGATTTTACTTTCGATTTTACTTTCGATTTTACTTTCGATTTTACTTTCGATTTTACTTTCGATTTTACTTTCGATTTTACTTTCGATTTTAGGATAAACCAAAAAAGGGAAGCAACTCCGCCGTCATCGCTAAAGAGATCTAGTCCACTTCCAGTAGATAAATCTAGTTGCTCGGAGTTGTGCACATAAAGTAGGGGCCTGGTTGACCACATCAATATTGATTTTTTAGGATGGAATCAAAGTATTTTTGTATTATCAGTTGTTATTTGTTGTTATCAGTTGTTAGTTAGGTTTTTTTATCAGTTGTTATTTGTTGTTATCTCGACAAAAATAAATACCCCTTCGAATTAAAACAAATTCGGTCGAATTATGCCAAATAATTGCTTTTACCCCAGTCACGAAGGAAAATCTGGCCGGCCCTGACTGAATCAAAAATGAATTCGATAAGCAATGTGCAGTGGAAATAATTCTTTCTCGAGATGTGATATTCCTACGAACTGAGTGTCCATAATGCGCCCGCTCTACCGGGTCCCTTTCTGTATTTTGAAATAAAAGCGAAAAAGATATCACAGTTCTCGCAGGCTATGTTTTAATTCGCTTTTCAACACTATTAAGTTTTGGGGATCTCCTGAATAGTACGTCTGACTCTGATAAGAACTAGCTATGCAAGTGGAAAGCCTTGTAAATGCTTCAAATCAATGCGAGTTAAACCAATAATTGAGTTAATCGTCCTCATCCATGTAATGACACATCTTTTTTTTTGGTTTTTGTAAAGTGTTTTACGGCGCTCGCAACTGCATAGGTCATATGAGCGCGCGGGACACACCTAATATTTTCAGTTGGTAGGAAATTTTTGAATATTGCCCGGGTGGCGGCCGAAGCCTACTCTTATCGATTTTAGACCACCAAGGTATCTTTAACGTGCGCAACTTGCACACGGGCCCTCCGAGATTTTTCGCCCTTGTCCGAGAAGGCTAGGTGTAGATCTTTCCTACCAGAAGATCAGGGGTGTGGTAGAAAGACAGCGGTAAGGGGGGGGGGGGCAAGGAGTAGCAGTAGAAAGGCTGCAGAAAGAGTTAGGAGCCTAGAAGAGGGGGCAAAGGAGGTGAAGGGATGGGGGCAGAAAGTGGAAATGAAAGCAGACAACAGAACATTGCTAGAGAGCAGGAAAGGAGGTGAAAGGAGACAATTTTAGAGAAGAAAATTTTTTCGGTCGCTACCCGGATTCGAACCCGGGACCTTTGAATGAGAGGCCAACACCTTAACCTCTATGCCACGAGAGCCCCCCATACATCTTCTTTGATAAAGCGAAGAGTTGTAAGACGTTCTAAGATAAGGACTCTGGTTTCAGTTTCGTAGTCCAAGTCGTGATGACTGGACAAACCAAACACTGAATGTCACGGTATTACATAAATGTCTATTACCTTTTAACTGCATGGTTTGAAACAGCACGACGTTCAACATCACGATATTCAGAAGCGAACAAAGGGTCGGTTTGTTGACAAGAACAATGTGCTGTCAAATACCCAAACTTCCATCCCACACAGGGGTCACGATAGCACAATATCGTCATGATCAACGGTTTTGGCCTAAGGTACGCCCGTTCTCTAAGAGTTACAGACTTTGTCCTGTTTCCCGCTCTCTAGGATAGATGGACGAAGAGAGACCTACATATTACTCGTAAAGCAGGTTGTTTGTAAAATAGGTTTTCGAATTATCTGTCTTATGCTTTTCATATTATTTTGATATGTAGAAAGAAGGAAACGTTATTCCTTTCCCTTATACAGTTATCGCTAATAACGGTAGAGAGGACTTTTTTTCTTAAATTAGCAGGCATTCAGAGTTCAGGTATTGTATATCATAAAGGGCTGAATGAAGTGGAGCAGCGGTCTTTAGGCTATTTTTTTTGGCTGAATCCTAGTCTATTTGAATTTTCCGTTGAAGACTACTGGAGTCCAGGGGCATTCAGTCCCTTTCGACTCTAAGGGAAAAAAACACTGCTGAGTTCAAGGACGCTAAGCCCTGTCTGGGGACGTTTGTTGAAGCCTCCGCTTAGTTTCTCAGTTAGCACTGGATTATTTGATTGACTTAAATTCACCTACATTTCTGTGTAGTATATCACCGAGGAACTGAACAGAATGTAATCAAATTATCCCTCGCCTACAATCAAAAGCTTACCTGCAACATCTTTCTTCACACGTCTTTCGAAGTGTTTCAAAGCACTGTAACTGTCAATTCCGAGGTCAGATGTTGCGTCCTCTGAAATATCCACGGCCGATAATACTCCAGACATCTTCTCAAGCTCTCTCCGCATCAGTATCAGCAGACGTCTGATGACATCGTAAGAACGATGGACGTTTGAACGTTTTAGTGTATCCTTTTTGCCAACATTCGGCATCGTCGGTTCTATCGCATTTTGTAAGTTGGGTTCTGCTGCCGACGACGAATCTCCCGAAACACTTTCAGGAATGTGATGAGACAACGAAGCTTGATGAGCGTTTACAGCTTTGTGGTCAGTGTTGAGAATGATTTGAATAATAATCGAGGACAGTTCCTTGAGTGAGTTTTGAACAGTGACCCGGCGCGAAACCTTGCCTGTTGAGGCTGAAGACGTCGTAGAGCTATGCGACGGTTTACTTCTGCTTCTGTCCTTTGACGAAGTCTTAGTGGTTGTCATTTGATTCTGAGAAGTCTCGTCGTGGGAGAACGGTGGTGAGATGTTCAAGTGTGGAGCTGGCGACGATGTCATGACAAGCTTTCGCTTTGAAGCTGATATTTCAGAATCTTTGAGTGTATCACGCTCAAAACTGTCAGTCGAGGCTCTCAAGTTGCTTACTAACTCTTCCAATAGAATAACAGCTTCTGGAAGGATATTTTGCAAAGTCACAACAGAGCTCTGAAAGCTGTTGTGCAGTTTGACTAGTTCTTTTATTTGAGACGCAGTCAGTCTAATGCTTTGCTGTAAGTCTTTGATTTGATCACACAGTGTTTTATTGCTGTAAGTGGAGTTTAATTTATGATGAAAATCAGTTTGTGTTTCTACCACTTCTTCTAGTCTGGCCAACAAGCCAGACAAACGCTTAGCCTCTGACATAAGGCTTTGGCAAACGATTGAAACTTTACTGTTAGTCTTCGACACTTTAACGTCCTCAGAAGTTTCACTATTGTTTTGAGAACAAAAACTATCTCCTGCAGATGAGTTTGAGACTGAATTTAGGAAGCGTAGAAAGGTGCGCCGGAGTGCAAGCCCAGCGCTCGAGGTTACATAGCTCTGTATGAGATCTCTCAACTTTGAGTATCGTGTCTGAAGCAGTACCAGCCGGCCCTTCAGGCGATCTGCCATCTCAGCTCTGGACTCTGGCGTCTGAAGAGAAATGTACGCTTTGTTTCAGTCTTGTGTCAAAATGAGTGTATTGAGCAGAAACTACGTAGATAACATTCATAATGATATTGGTTAGAACAAGAGAGGAGGGGTGTGAGTGGTGGTGAGGGTATGTAAGCTGGGCACACGAAACAAATGGCTCATTTTTTAATAGAGAAACAAACTACAACCAGAAATCTCAAAATAAATCAACTAATAGGGGTATAGGGGTGGGTAATAACCATACTAATAATGAGATGTGGTTCATAGAAGTGCTTTATATGCAAAGACTTGTACTGACGATAAAGTCGTTTACAGAACAGATTTGAATTATTTTACCTAGAAATGTTCTATTATATAAAAAGTGCTTTAGCTGGGCGACACTGACATTTTGTGTTCTCAAAATTATTTCCCTTTTCAGGCTTCAAGGTGCTGACCGGATAAAATCATAACTTCAAAATATCAATCCATCTCATTAGAACGAGCACCCCCCCCCCCATACACAAACACACACACACACACACACACACACACACACACACACACACACACACACACACACACACACACACACATACACACTCACACACACACTCACACACACTTACACACATACACACATACACACATACACACACAGCACACACAAAAGCGCACGCGCACACACACGCACACACACACAGACACACACACACACACACACACACACACACACACACACACACACACACACACATGCATACGTGCACACACATACACTCACAAATAATGTGCTATCACACATGAGATATGCACATGTTTACACTTACACACATGCACACTCAGGGAGACCGATGGAAGCTGGAGGCTGGGGGATGGTTTGGGGGGGGGGAGGTGAGATAAAGGGGCAAATCATGTCTCTGTTCATCAATCTAACAACATGAAGCAAGAGTCTTGATTGATTGATTGATTGGGTAGATGTTTTACGGCACTATCGACACAATTTTGGTCATTTAAGCGCCATCAGTTTTCACCGCTACAAAATCAGACGTGTTTTTAATAAAGAGTCTTTCGGAGCTCGCAACCGCAAACGATCACACTATTTCTGTTATGCTAAAAAGACGAACAAACATTCATACAATTTTTTTGTAAATATGGAAACGGCTTATTTACATTTGTATATACAATACAAATTTCAGTGTATGTATATATACACCGTGTGTATATATACACCGACAACGACAACTATATATTTTCACATTCTATTAAACAGTCCAATTTCTTTGATATAACTTAAAATTATTCTAGGCTCTATGATGTCGAAAAGGGTCTTAATATCTTTACATTTAAAATATTTCTCACGGATATAATTAAAGTCGACACATTCCATTAGGATGTGCCGAACTGTGAGATTTGTGTTGCACGCCACGCAAAAAGGAGCCAAGAGTCTTTTAACAGGCGTTACCTTCGGCAACTGTTCAATGTCTTGAACACTCAGATCTGTGATGTGGGCCGGAGGATGCACTGACATGTATTCTGTGAGGACCCCGCCTCCAAATCCCTTTAGGAGACTTTCTAGGTGGTGGTGGGAAAGTTCCACACTTCTCTTCTTGGTGTGGCTTGGGCATGGCACGTCCTGATTCACAACTGATATGCTATCATCGAAGCAGACGAGACCTAAAAACAAAAATAATTATTGAGTTGGAACAAATGGCGAATACTCACTGAGAAGGCCCTGTGTGCACCTCTCCTTTTGAATAATAGAAGGATAGAACTCTTCGAGAGCTTCAATCCGAAACTTCCTTTTCCTATTAGCTGGATACCTGGAGATGCCATCTCTAGCTCAGAGGTCGACGAGTTATGATCTGCCTTTGTTAACGGTCGCTAGCTGCCGCCATGCCTGTTGCCCAATTTTGCCTAATCTTGCCAAGTTTGCTTCATCCTCACTTCTTTACCCCGGATCGAATGTTTCCCGCATGCCGTACATTTCACACTAGACTGCCCCCCCCCCCCTCGCAAAAATAAATTTTATTTAAAAATGAAAGACAATAGTTTATTGACCTTATCTACTGATGTTTTTGTTGCACACATTTTTGCATCTTTCAACATTGCAAGATTACTTAAAAGGTGGGACCTTCGAATGCAAACTAACGTCCATCTCCGAAGGGACCAAGCCAAATAGATATGTGGAGCGCCTTAAAAACTTCTAAACAGCCGAATCTCAAGAACCCTCCAAGGGGATTTCAACCAAGGCCACCCCCTCTGTAGTACAGCGTGGTACAACCGAGCTAAAGGAGCATATCTGTAAGTTATTGAGATAGAATAATATGTGACCCCTTACCTGTCGCAGGATGCTGCACGCCGGGTGTGGCTGAGATGCCACTGGTAACCTGGGATTTCCAGGAATTGCCAAACGCCTGGCCTACGTTTACAGGCGGCAGGAAGTCCTGGGCCCCTCCCTTAACGGCAGGGTGATCACTTCTTTCTGGCATATCGTGACCAGTTGCCGCGACTCCCAACTGAGGCTGTGCAAGTTGCATGTTGTGAGCCTGGACGACGCCGGTGTGGGAGTTGTGAGGGTTATCTACGTGAGTCCCTTGACCATGTCCACCATGAGCGTTGCCTGATGGTTGAACCACCACCACCGACAGTCGTGAGGGGGACACCCCGGACTTTGTTACAGGTGGAGCAGATGATTTATTAAGGGGAGAAGGTGTCGTGGGGCTTAGCGTCACTTTCAGAAGAGCTTTTGGGTATATGACGTTTGGGGTGGTCTTTGATGCCGATACTGATAATTTTGGAGTTGGAAAGTCTGTGGGGGTCTTTGTGGACGACGCTAGCTGTCGTATGTCAGGTTTGTTTGTTGTAACTGCTTGGTGACTTATGGTTGGTGGTTGTAGTAGCTCTTGGGTAACCTTCCTCGGTGGCAGAGTTGGTGGTACGGGGAGAAACGGTGTTGTAGATTTCTGAATTCTGGAGGACGGATTCTGATGGACAGTCGCTGAATCTGCAGGAAATTTAATGAGTATAGCGATAAAATTTAACGCATAGGTAAGGAAATATGTATGCTGCTATTGATGCAGGGCTTATAATATAGGGGTGACAGCCATAAAGAAAACAAGAGATGGCCATTTAGAGTACCCACAACCCACAAGCTTACCCAGTTATTCAGAGATAGTGAGTCGTGTGTGTGTGGGGGGGGGGGTATAAGGTTGTGGTGGAGGAGTGGTGGAAGAGGCTGGGTGCGTGTGTTGTGAGACAGATAATCGAGGTCAGAGGGAAAACTGAAAGGACTCAGAAAAAAACCGAAAGAATAGAGAGGAAGTGGGTAAATTTTCATAATATTGAGGGGATGGGTGGAATGAATGAGTGCGTCTCTAGACTAGAAGCAAAATGTGTACTTCGTGCTATAGAGAAACGTTAAAAGAAATAAAAACATGAAGTAAAACTATTAATAACTGTTCATTCTGTGGCTAACGTTGATGTTTCATTTCACAAAGGAACTCTGAAATCTAAACGTTTGACTAAAATTCTTACACGTTTTACTTAGCTTTTGAGTGGTATGAAGGCAGACAACCCTTCATCTCGCCAGCACACACACACACACACACACACACACACACACACACACACACACACACACACACACACACACACACACACACACACACACACACACACACACACCTGGAACATGTCAGTGTTGCCAAGCTGCGATATCACACGACAAGATCTTGATCTTAAAGGAGCCAGCAGATAAAATTCTGTTTGAGTGTTCGATTTCTGAATCACTTAATAACATATTAGAACAAAAAATAGACGTTGTTTCTATATTTGGATTTGCTCATGTCTGAATTTAACTACGTCAATGATAAGAAATCTGGATATCGGACACGAGACAAAAGCAGAAAACATTTTCTCCGCCTTGATGCTCTAACGGGTCCGAAGTACATGTTTGTGATGACATATTAGTTCAGTGCTTGTCAACCTTTTATTAGCCAACTCTTACTTTTGCGACCTTTAAAGGGTTAACATTTTCGTACCGCCCACATATGTTTTTTCCAAGGGGTGCGTTCCTTTTAGGCCAGATTACGCAATACCCGACCCCTTTTGGACCGGTTGAACAGGTGATTTTATTTCAACAGCTAGTAACTTGGCGAAATAAGGACCGTTATTAACGGCAACGAGTACGAGCAGGTCAAAGAATTTGGGAAAAGTTCATCTCTCCCAAACACACCTTTATGATTTTGAGAATGCCTTGTTCTGACTGTGCTGTGTTTTAGACTTGGCTGGTGAACTGTCACAGAAGATTGGGGGGAGGGGTACGCAAGCGATGTATACTTTCAAGGGTGCTTCCAGACAAAATAGAATTAATTCAACTGCAAAGTGAAATAATAACCAAGACGTGTATCCTATTTGAAATCCTAAATTCACTTCTGCGTGGACAGCCTGAGGAAATAAAAAAGCAGCAGACCTTCGGAATAGCGAATTTTATCTAGATCTATTTCAAAAGTCTGCATTTTGGAAAAAAGAAGCGACCACGCGAAAAATAGATTCCAAAATAAAAGCAAGAAATCTACGGGCACAACTGGTCCAAAAGGAACTTTGTAGTTACTGGTCCAAAAAGAATTCTTTCTGTCCAAACAAAGCACTAATATTATATGTCGCTACCCGGGTGGTCCCCACCGCCTACCAACATTACTAAATCTCCCAGATATCGCCCAGATTGGCAAGCAATGGATTAACTGATCTGCTCGGCTCAGAAATATATAAATTAACGTAAAGACATGACAGCGACCCTGTGTCACTAAAGGGGAAATGATATATCCCAAAGGTTCGTCATTTATGACGTCAAATGGCTCAAGTGAGAAGAACATGATGAAACCTAAGGTGGTATACGAGGACTCCTGATCAAATATCACAGTCATTTCATAATTGTTTTTGTAAAGGGTTTGGGGCCAACACAACGACATGGAAAAACATTTTTTTAATCATCAGAGGATCCAGATATTTAATATTTTTTCGTGGTAATGCATTTTAAAAAGGTACTTGCATCAAACTCAATTGCCTTTAGTAGGCTGCTGTTCGTCACGTAGTACTGAAGCAGTGGTTGCATATATCTAACACAAACAAGGTCAACCACGAAAAATCAACACACACATACAAGATCAGTTCCGTACAGTAATTTATACACTACTCATGACTCCAATGTCTTTTGCTCATGTGGTTGTTCACGTGTAGCTTTAATGGAAGGGGGGGGGGGGTATATTGAGTCAGTACTACAGTACACAGTCGTCAGTATGTTTGTGTCAGTTCGTAAAAATTAATTGATCTGCACTAGGAAACCAGACGTAATAATCTACTAACAAAAAGATGATTGTCTCGTTTACAATAATATTCCAGTAGTGCTTCAAACATACGCAAAGGTGAAAAAAAACATGATGCATCATAATTGAAAAGAGCTATCGATATTCATTAAAATAACTGATAACACTAAAAAGAAATTGTAGTCTAGACAATCTGTAATCGTTTACCTTACAATAGCAGACATTCAATTTTGTTATTTTGTGCCCTTTCAATCATTAGCATAATGTAGATCTCGGGTACAGGATCCTTTTTTCCTGGGCTGTCACTTTCTCAACACCACGCTGCAAGGCTGCTGAACGCGTCCTTTGTGTGCACAAGCTGAGATTCGAGTCATTTGCCATTTCGTCACATTATCTGATATTCATAATTTTGCAGTAAAAAAGGAGAGTGTCATCTACAGTGTATTGGTAAGTATCACCGCCTGTAATGCGGGAAACTGGGCTTCGGGTCTCCGCCGGGAACGGGTTTTTCCCCCTTGATATTGAGAGAGAAGACTGAATGAGAGAGATAAAAAAAAAAAAAGGCACATAGGCGGCTTCAGAAAAGTGAATCAGAAAGACGGACGTAGAGAAGTGAAAATTATTTTATAAATACAGTACAATAAAGACGAAAATACTTTTTTATGCAGTCTGCAATCTCCCCAATGCTGATTGAATATTGTTCAGTTCTTGGACGGTGGACAGTACTAGACTTATATTACCCTATGTGTAAAATAGTGAAGCTTTCCCTTTTAAAGGCTGGACCTCATTGTGTAAATCATGGTTAGGCCTAAAACATTTGCTTACCGAGCAGAAACGCCGAGGAGAATTGAAGAAGAGAGGCTAGTCCCACGAGCTGCCAATGCCGGTGCATCTTGTCTCCACTATTTGTCCCACTGGTGAGCTTCTGTGTCTCTACTGCTCACTTCAGATGTTGCGCGTGTGCTTCCACGAATCTCAGAGCTCATCGTTATATAAGCCAAAAGACAGCGGAGGATACCCTTGGTCGTGATATAGCAGGACGTGGTTCGCAGACTACGTCGCTTCAGCTGGGTGGGTGGGGAGATGGGGGAGTTTATAGAAAATAGTTTTAATTACATGAAAAATAAAAACCAGGCGTGACTTTGGCGTCGATTTATCTGGATGGCAAATTGAGTTTTGTAGTCGTCTCGTTCACAACACTCGTTATAACACAAGATTATTTTTCAATCAATTTTTCAGCGTGAGTGGTGGATGTGAGGGGAGGGATGGGGGTCGTACCATATGGGGTAATCCAAGCCAAACGATGCGTGGGCGTTCCCGAGTTAACCCCCTCTTTTTCTTCTTTCTCTCACTTGTGGGCGAGTTCGCTCTGATCCACTCTCCCAGCTGTAGATGATGAGTCAACGCCCAGCAGGCATCTGTCCGGTTTGAGGGTCAGTCGTGACTTCAGGTAATCGTTGTCCCAACAGTTCCAGCGCCAGAACTGATGTCTCTATCTGAGGAGATAACAGGCATGCATCAGCGATAGACGGACCCAAATGTCTGGGGTAATTTGCAGATACTAAACAATGGGATTGATATCAGCTTCTTTTTTTTTTAAATTGATAATACACTCCACGGCTTGGTTGTTTTTTTGTGTGTGTTGTTCTTTTGGTCAATTGTTGTTGTAGTTTTATTTTTTTTATTTTTTATTGGGCTTTTGTTTGTTCTTATTGGAGTTTTAAAAATTATTGCACATTATTTTTTAAAAAGGGGGAGGGGGGTGCACTGGTTATACCTCGACGGAACCATGGTTGTTTTGCAAGTTTGGAGTCGGCAACACATTTTGCTGTTAGCTTGTAATAACGCAATTATCTCTTTGAAAGGTGAACGAATGATTTTGCAGTTTTCAAGATATTTTAAGATGGAGGCCGCTGACCTCTACGACAGACACGAAGCACAAATACAAGGTTAAAAGCAGCACCTAATGCGTGTACTTCCACGCCAAGCCAATACATTAGCATGCCTTTTGAAACTCGACTCACATTTCCATCAGCCAATGTGAATCGATGTGAACAATCGTACGGATATATCAGGTGATCATGAGACATTTTCAGCTTGTATGGATAATCATACAAAAAGGTGGGTGGTTGACTGGTGCTCTAGTGTGGTTTGCTCCTTCTTTCCTATCAAACATCTATCGTCCTGATCTCTCCCCCTTTTTTATTTTTGTTACTCTCTTGTAACACCTCTAATCTTCAGCACTTATATGACCTTATTGTGTTGCAAGTGCCGTACTAAACATACGAAAATATCAGGCTAACATAAGACACTATTATCATCAACCTACATGACTGATCTTTGAAATATATCAGGTGAATATAAGACAATATTAACCTATATGACTGATCTTTGAAATATATCAGGCGAACATAAAACAATATCAACTTATATGAATAATCAATCAGGCAAACATAAGACAATATCAACTAATATGAACAATCTTACGAATATGTCGGGCGAACATAAGACAATATCAGCTTATATGACATATCTTTGCAATGTATCAGGCGATCATGAGACAATATCAACTTGTATAAACAGTCTTACGACTGTGTCAGGGGAACATAAGACAATGTCAACGTATTTGACCAATCTGAACAAATCAGGTCAAAACGTCCTAACGTTCGTGGTTATGGTTGGCAACGACAAAAGCAAAGAGGGGCCGAACCGTCTGTCAGATAACATCATTTGCGTCAACGGGATTTTAACTGTTGAATTATCGCAAACTTATTGCCGCCGCAGAAGGAAGCTTTCATAGCACGATACAGGAGAACAGTTTACTCAGTCGTTTTTATCAACTGATACTTTCATCCTTTGGATCAGGGCAGAGATTATTACGAGCGACAACCAGTAGAATGGGGAGATAATGATTGTATGAAAACGAGGAAAGAAAACGACGCCAAAACGAGGTAATCTTCTCTAGGGTTTGCGGAGAGCGGGGGGGATTCCAACAGCAACTATCCGTCGCTTGGAAGTGCCCACATTCGGCTATGTCAATAAGGAGTTCCCACTCTGGTAATCCTGCATTGATTGGCTTGCACCGGGCAGACTTCTCGATGATTTTCTCTTCTTTTAGGCTGTTGGTTTAGAGGACGCCCACAGCAACAATCTATTTCCAGATCTGTATCGGCTCACAAACATCCGGTTGTTTCCTGTCAGGTCCTCATACGTTTATGTCAGCCTGAGACTGCAGTTGGTGTATATACCATAATGACAGTATTAGGGGATTTTTTTGTTGGTAATTCAAACCCCAGTCCGATTTGCATATAGATTTGAGTGCATAGATTTATTTTATTACATTTTTTCAAAGCCAATAAGGAACAGACCACTTTTCAAACTAGGTTTGCCAAAACGCGTATTTTTTAACCAGTTGATTCCATTACTATATATTTTAATGTCATATAAAACCTACGGAGCATTGTGAACAGTTTAACGTCCTGGGGGGGTCCTCTTTTCAGCCCTGGGTTAATTAAGCACTTCTGTAACATGATCACACGCAGGTACACATTTTCATACTAAAGAGACAAGATACAAAAATCTGACGAACAGACGGACAGATAAACAAACTGATAGTCGTACAGGGTGCAGTCTGATTGGTTGATTGATAGGTCGGTAGGTCGGTAGGTCGGTAGGTCGGTAGGTCGGTAGGTCGGTAGGTCGGTAGGTCGGTAGGTCGGTAGGTCGGTAGGTCGGTAGGTCGGTAGGTCGGTAGGTAGGTAGGTAGGTAGGTAGGTAGGCAGGCAGGCAGGCAGACAAGTAGGTAGGTAGGTAGGTAGGTAGGTAGGTAGGTAGGTAGGTAGATACGTAGACAGGTATGTAGGTATGTAGGTAGGTATGTAGGTAGGTATGTAGGTAGGTATGTAGGTAGGTATGTAGGTAGGCAGGTAGGTAGGTATACAGGCAGGTAAGTAGGTAGGTAGGTAGAAACGTAGTCAGATGGGTAGGTAGGTAGGTAGGTATGTAGGTATGTAGGTAGGCAGGTAGGCAGGAAGGCAGGAAGGTAGGTAGGTAGGTAGGTAAGTAGGTAGGTAAGTATAAGGTATCGGTAGCCAGATAAAGATAAAGGAGTAAAGTAGGTATATAGGGTAAGAATGTTGGTAGGCAGGTTGAGAAATAGATCAAAGTTAAAAGATTGTTACGCTGAAAGGTAGGTAGAGTGGGTGGATATAAGAACCATAAAAGTTTTTTTTTTTTATAAAGGATACCCGCAAAACCAGCAAACAAGATGCCGGAAAGAGGTTGGGTGGGGGGATTAAAGTGCTAGGTGGCATTAATCTCAAGTATTCTTTATTTTCAGCAAATTTTAAGATCGCTGACTCTGGCCATTGGTGCCTAATATAACATAAACATATTTCATCTGTACTTTCACTTTATGTGTGTGTTTGCGCCAATGTTTCCTAAAGTACAGGGTGATCCACACAAAAAACTGTACAACTTTTTTTCTAAATATCTCGCACAAAATTTGTACTAGAATGTTGTAATTTGGAACAGATATAATTCATTCAAAAGAAGTTTGTTTGACATAAAACTCATAAAGAAGAAACCTTTTTTCGAAAACGGGAATGGCTTTTTCTTTTTTAAAAACCCATCTATAGATTCTAAATGCAAAATGCTCCATTTTAAAAGATCTTTCAAGGAAAGTCAATAAAATGATTGGGGTTTTTTTCCTGTACTTTTATTTCTAAAATCTAATCTTTCGACCCCTGTAACCTTTAAATAATATTTCTTGTCTCCTACAGAGTTTAAATGTTGTTGTTTCTTATTTTGGAATTCCGAGAACGACTGATATCTATATGTCCTCCTTTGGACTCCGACACATTATAACGCGTCGTAATTCTATTTCTATTTCTATGTACATGTTTCTAATATTTCTTTTGTTTGATCAAAGAGAATCACACTAAGGCAACAAAGAGAATGGAGTGAAGGGGGAAAAAACGAAGACAGATAAATAGAAACAACAGACGAAATTGAAAGAAGTAGGGTTTACCATTGGTGCCCTTCACAGAAATCGATGTTCAGAAAAGTGGGAATACATGGAATAACATCAAGAGGCTAGATCAGGATAGAGAAAGGTTGAAGGTATTTGTCCGTGGCCTATACCCTGGTGAAGGGTGAGAAAGGCAATGATGATGATTGGTGTCATTCAACCACTTACATTTTACTAAAGAGAATAATTACCTGGATAAGGTCGACGTAGCGGTGAACACAGAAATGAAAGAGTATGAAGGGAAGAAGGTGCAATGGGAAAACTAGAGAGTTGAAAGCCAAGATACGGTGGAGCGGGTGGGGGGGAGGGGCGGGAGGGAGTCCCAACATTAAAGCTCCTTCAGTGCACAAACGTCCATAGAAACAAAGCTCTCTTTAATACTTGAAATGCTTTCAAGCACTGTCGACAGCCCAGCATGCTTTTATCGCAGAGATTGACCACATCACCCGTTGTCGAAAGGCTCAGGGAATTATAATAATAGACTGTAAAGACTAAGGCAGTGGTGTAGTTATCTCTGAACTATTTTATGTATATATTGTACTTACAAATGTGCACAGTGATCCACACATTGTGGTATATTATTTCGGGGGGGGGGGGGGGGTGTATTTACACTGAATAAAAAAACACAATCGCTAGGTATGTAAGGAAGAGAATCCTGTTTGGTACTCAACTACAAGCCGGTGAGATAAAAGCTATAGAGTTTAACAACTCGGTGATTATTTACCCAAAATTACATATTCAAACCAAGCTTATTGAGCAAACTAATAGAGTAGCAAAAACGTTTCTGGAGTTTCTGTTGCCATGTTAACATGCATATCTTTGTGATGCCAACACAGTGCATTACCAGCGTTTATTCACTAATTGTGGACCGTACAAAAAAGAATCGAAACCTGAGCAGTTTGCCGAAAAATTTTGCCCTTCGCCCAAAGACAAAAACGCCAAACAACACGAAAAAGAAAAGGAAATTGGAAAAACAAGCATATTATTGCTAAAAATGTGTGTAGTTTAACTATGCACACCCACCTCATGTAGCGATCCAACTTGCACTGACTGGTCGCAACTCTCTGCTCTACGCCTCGACCGCTAGATCTACTCACGCAGTCTGCTAAAGTCCGTGGCTCACGCCTCGGCCTGTCCTTGTTTTCTTCAATGTCAAATAGGTAGCCTACCGTACTCGACTACTTTCCCGAGAATCACACAGCTAACCACAATGTGCTGCCAATCTGGGCCTGTTTATACTTACGACCTGAAAGTTGTTATTTTAAAATAACCAGAGAGTGACAGGTTATGAAAACTGAAATTGAAGCCAAGTAGAGGGTGCATATTCCGACACTGTGTGCTATTCCGACACCCCTCGTGGGGTGCACTCCAAAAACAACGAACGGTGCGGAAATACTACAGTGGAATCCTGTTATAACGAGAGGGAGGGGACCGGTGTGAAATGTCCGTTTTTGCAAGATTCTCGTTATAAGGGACCCAGTAATAAATTCAAGGAAAATAGTAAAGTAGGCCTAATCTATGAGTCTGATTTTCTGTTTATTTCTTTTTGTAATCTCCCCTGATGATGATTTGGTTCAACATGACCTTTAAGTCTTACTTGATCAAAAGTTGAATCAGGTTTCTTTCTCAAACGCTAGCGATATTGACAGCTCGGCGTTGGCGATCAGAAAGAAAGTTCTCAAGGCTAAATCGCCCTCTGTGTTGTCCCCCACCCCACCACACCCTGTGGTGCGTTCCGTCTGCTTGCGCACAAAAGAAACATACCACACCCCGCCCACGTCACACATTCGCTCCGTCCATCACAGTACAGCACTATGACCTCTCCATCTTCTCATCGGAGAAGTGAGAGGCGTGGTAGGCCTAGATAATCTAGACTAGGCTGGCCTATCACACGATGCGTTCTGCTTGTCTGTGCATGCCACACTCTCCCCACTCATTCAATCCGGCCTTCATTATTGGCACATGTGGGCTCTCCCATTCTTTGTATGTATGTATGTATGTAGTATAGGGTTTTACGGCGCTCGCAACTGCTAAGGTCATATGAGCGCGCGTTCTCCCATTCTTTGTTTTGCAAGATCACCAACAAGTTTCTCAACTGGCGAGGTTTTACATTAATAAATAGCCTATGCGCTGTGCACAGCCGCAGCTATATTCCGGTATAACCGATTCACGTGTTTGTCTGATTGCGTTATAATAGTATTTTATTTACAAAGATAAAGAAGGGGAAAAAACGGGGTTTTAGAATAGTGCCTTTATAACAGACTTCTCGTTGTTTCAGGACTCGTTATAAGTGGATTCCACTGTACAACTTATGCGCGCGGGTCTATTTTTAACCTTCAGCCGAACTATCTTTTTTTTTATCGATGTGCGTCATTTCTAAATATAGGTGTAATAGTTTTCCCATAAGCCCACAAGAAGTGACACCGCTCTTTCGCGCGTCCAATTTCGAACGTTTTCAAGCTCCGTGTTTCTAAAGCAGCAATATCACAAGGTGATAAAACAAGTCCTATTTCTTGTGTAAAAGGCTGTATGTGATAAATGAATGTACTAAATGAATATTAGATGATTGAAATTGCTGTTTTCAACAAAATTTGATAGATTTTATTGCTTTAAACTGGTTAAATATGTTCTCAAAAAGTGTCGAATTTCCCCACATCAAAAAATGCCACTCTCAGAATTACGACACCCCGTCTGTCAATAATTCGACACCCCATGCTGCTATTTCGACACCCCTGGTGGTAATGTCGACACCCCCAGTGGGTTATTTCGACACTATGTCAGTAGATTCGTGTTCAATACAATGTTATGTAAATGACTATGTATCCATTTATGTATTTTGTGAATTGCAGTGTGAATATTATTTTATGCTCATTTCGTGACGATGTATAAGCGTGTGCATGTGATAAGCAAGTAGATGTGAGTGAGTGTGTGTGTGTGTGTGTGTGTGTGTGTGTGTGTGTGTGTGTGTGTGTGTGTGTGTGTGTGTCGCGTGCGTGAATATTGTTCGTAAATGCATTTAGGCTATGTAAAGCGCCTACAGCTGTGTTTACACAGGAGTGGGCGCTATAGAAATGATCTTCATTATTATTAGGCCTATATTATTATTATTACTTACGTAGGCTAAGCCTAGTAGCCTATTAGGCCTAGACCTAGCCTAGTATCGGCAGTATGCCTAGGTTTAACCTAGTAGTAATACTAGCAGTAGTATTAGCAACAGCAGCAATGGTAGTGGTAGTGGCAGCAACAGCAGCAGCAGTAGCAGCAGTAGCAGCAGTGGCAGCAGTAGCACCAACTGCTGCTGTAGTAGTATTGGGGGTAGTGAGCAGCGGCAGAAGATGTAGCAGCAGCAGCAACAGCAACAGCACATGCAGCAGCAGCAACA